TACCCATTTGTTTGTGTTTTGGTACAATATCTGCTTAAAGTGTCTCTTTTACTTCCACTTTAGGCTGCAACAGTTTTATAAAATATCTTCTCTTTAGTTGAAGTTAAAATATTTTCTTTGTTAGATATTGTGGATCAAGTTTGACACTTTTTCTGAAACTTGAATCTTCAGTTAAAGGGTCCTGCAAGTTGTTCAGGTTGGATTGTAGCTTTTATACTTTTCACCGAGAACAGAATATAACAGAAGGCTCTTAGTGAGCCCTAGCCTAGTATGTAATATTTAGCCTTAGGTGAGCCCAAGCCTATATACAACAAAGAAAGAACAATATTTAAAAGTTTACGTGTCGAGCAAGAGAGAAAAAACATACAGCGTAGTCATTAATAAAAAAGGTGTATTTAGTTAAAATGAGATGTGTTTAATTTATAAAGGAAAAAACTTTTGTTTCTAATCGAATATTTTTCCACTGAAGTATTTAGGATTATAATTCTATCGGTAGGATTATAATTTCTACCAACGTTTTGATCAACATTCTAAAAAATGACAAGGTTTTGCACTATTCATCTTACTTCTGTAATAAAAATAAATCTTAAAAAAATAATAAAACAGTATTGGATGATCAAGGGAGGTTTTTCATCCTGACAAGCCTCCTTTGGTAAAGCAACAGTGTTAAGCAGAACACGGCACTCAGATTCTAATTCTGTTGCCATAATGCGGAACACGACAGGGGAAAAAAAAGAGATTCTGACAAATGTACTACTTGTAAAGGTTAGACTAAAGCAGATAAATATATTGCATATTTTTTTATATATAGACATATGCATAACATCTCCTCTGGTTTTCAATGACTTTGCAACAACATTGCGATTAAAGTATTTAGTGGGGAGCTTTACAAGAGAATAATGGATAAATTTGTAGTCATTTAATATTAATTAGAATAATATCCTTTCTTTGTTTGCTGTTTTCTTTTCTTTTTTATAACAATTTACCTCCCTGTACCTAAAGGCAGTAGGGATGCATTTAAATATGTAAGCCTCTGTAACAAATTTGCACTGTAGGAATATCAGAAATTTGCCAGTATAGATTTACACTTGTCGTACCAAAATCCCCTAGAAATCATAAGAAAACGAAAGTTCTAAAATCATTCCACCCTAAAAAATATATGAATTATTAATCATTAAATAGTCCTGAGCTAATGTGAAGTCCCTTGAAGTTATTCAAAGATCTGAATAAAATATTAAGCAAAAGCAGGAACTTTCTGATATCTTCTTAAAAGTACTTTCACTAAGCTGACAGTAAAAATAATTTGTCGGTAAAAATTAATCTAAGGAACAGTTTATGGAGGATATGCTGCACTGATTACAAAGATGAAAGGGTTATCAGTGTTATCTGAATTGGATAACACTTCTGCGTTATTTTTTATGTCTGCTTCTGTCTCCTTGGTCCCCAGTCAGCCTCAACAGAAGGCCGCTCACACTGAGCCTGGTTTTGCTGAAAGTGTTCTCGTTAAAAGGGAGTTTTTCCTTCCACTGTCGCTGCATGCATGCTGCAGAAGCTACAACACAATGCAAGGAAATGTCTGCTGTCAGTATTTGGTCATCCAGGAAAAGTAAATCCTGTAAAGTCAAAAGACTCAATGCAATCATCTGGGTTAAAACTTTGAACCAATCTGTCTATGATCTGATGGATTTGTCTCTGTAAAGAGCCTTGAGATGACATGTGTTGTGAATTGGAGCTATATAAATAAAAGTATATTAAACTGAATTGAATTTTAAGCTTTAAAGAGCTTTAATTACTCAAAAACTAATTTCAAAATGATGATTTACCAACAGTCAGATCTAAAGTACAGTCGAGTATCATGTGACCTATCATGCTGCTTGTTATGAATGTTTTATTCTAAAGTCTTTTAATAAGAATTAAAACTTTTTTTTAAGTCCCCTTTGGGTTTGTCTAATATTGAAGTTTCTTATTTGCAGAGCAGAAGAAGCTTCCAGTAAGTTTTAATCAATTGATCCACATTGAAACTCTGTTCTTTCCTTTAGAGTTAATCATCCTGTTCATTATGAACACATGGTTTTTTCAGGCCACATTCAAAGCTTCATAATATATCATCTGTAAAAGATGCAATGTTGATGAATCTCCAATAGTCCGGAGCCTTTTCATAAATTAAGCTTGGATTCAGACCTTTAATGATGAAAATGATTAATCTGATAGTATGTTTAGAAACTCAAACAGATGCAACCCCCCCCCCCGCCCCCCCTCCCTTTTTTATTTTAGATTTTAGTGTCCCTTGAAATAAAAGAGTCTACAAAAAAAAGCACAGTCAGACCTTTAGTGGCTTCCCGGGTCTTGTAATCAAAGGCTTCATTGAAAAGCAAATGGAGCAACGTCAGAGGATTACAAGGCTTTCCTCAGCAGGACGCCATGCTGCAGGCTGCAGGTCCACAAAGCTGATTGTATAAGAAACACTGACTCAATGCAGATTGCCGGCTTTCCTTAGATTGAAACCTTTTTAACCAGTTTGAATAAAAAAATCTTAGCCACACGGTTTAATAACCAGGATCTAATGAAATGCATGTACCTAACCTTCTTTTCTCAGTAGTAAAGTGCCTTGAGATGGAGGGTGGCAAAAATACCACTTTATAAAGTGAATTAAATTCAATCACAAATATTATATATATTTAAGGTTTAAAAGCAGCTCAGAGGACAACAGCTGATCTTTTGTACAAAAAAGTATTAATTTTTAAGAAACACAGAATGACTGACTAGTTTGTTTTTTTTTTGTTACAACATTCAGTTTTAAAACTTTTCAGGAGGATAATGTTGGGACTTTTTCACCTCTTCACTACTCCAGTTCTTACACATTAGAAATGATTTTATGGTTAAGAATAACTGATCTAATGAATTGTAAAGTCCTCAGTATAGGTAGAATGTCCTTTTTAAATAAATCAAGGTGACTTTGGTTTCAAGCTGGGGATCATATGGATATAAGTAATGCTGGACAAAATGTCTAAATTAAAGCAACTGATGGCTGGCTTATTTGCTCATTCCATTCAAATGTCTAACTTTGCCTGGTTGCTCATCAGTGCTCATCTGATCCACCTGCTCCTGCTTCTATTTAAACTGCTCAGTCCCAGCCATCAGAGCCAGATTATTCCTGTAGTTCTTATTCTCGCTGGCCAGTGGTGAGAGTGGTTTTAGCGTTCCTAGTGTTCCTAGAGTTCCTAGTGCCTGTTCCTGTCTGATCTCAGTGGAGAGAGTGGTTTTTGGTGTACTATACAGTTTCTGATTTCCTAATCCCAGCCCATTTTGCCTCTCAATCACTGGGTTGCCTGAACTGTCTTTGGACTCCTGAACCTCTGAAACAGCCTGTTCCTGTTCTGACCTAGCTTCGGACCTCTGACCCTTCCTGTTCTGATCTCTTTCCCTGACCTGTATTTGGACTCCTGCATGTTCTTCGGGGCTGCAGCATCTGGGACAGTCTGGGCGGCACTGATCCTACCTCGTTCTCTGGTGATGGACTGAACTGATAAAACAGGTTAGTGACTCACGTTTATAATCTTCCTCCATTAGATTTCTGTGGTCACTAACCTGTGTTTCCTTTTTTCAGGGGTTCCAGTTATAAACGCACTAGCCGCAGCCACTGCAAATCCAAAGTACAATAAACGCATTTTCAATAAAAGCTTCAGAGATTCACCGTTCAGGTGGAAGGACAACCAGCAGTTTAGCACTCAGTACATACAAAAATTTAAGAGGCATAAATCAAAGCAGTTATTGACATTTGCTATTAGGCACAGCAAACAATTAGAAATGATTGCTCTTATCAAATAATCATACATTTGAGTTTAAATGCAAAACACTATGTAGAGGTAAACTAACCTCCCCATGGATCAGTTCCTTTAACAGACAGAAAACATAGTCTGATTTGGAAAGATGGATGGAGTGAAATACAGGGTGCTCCAAAAAAAAAAAAAAAAGATTTTGGAAAAATGACCAGTGCCACAAATATTGTCACCATTAGCAATATCACTCCAGAAAAAAATAAATAAAGCTGTCTTAATTTCACAGTAAATGTTGCAGTGTTAAAGTAACACTTTGAGAGTACATTTGGTCCCACACTAATTCAGTGGGACCAAATGTACTCTTGAGTGTTACTTTAACACTGCAACATTTACTGTGTTGTATCATAATATTTCAAAGTCAGCTACAGTGTTGAAAAACTTTATATAAACACTGACTTATGCTATATCTTGGCATTTCCACAAAGGCCCATTTCTCCAGGTTAGGGAAAGATTAACATCCGTATCATTTAAATAAGGCTGATTAATGGCAGGCTAAAACAAAAGGTCGATATGCAGAAGTGCAAATTAGATCCACTGTTAAGCATGGTGGAGGATCTGTGTGCTGTAGGTCTTATTCCTCTTCTAAACATCCTATGAGTTCTGTTAGAGAAAATGGTTTTATTAGGTTTTTGGAATAACTATTGTCTCTGCTAGAAAAAAAAATAAAAATATGTTATTTCTCTTTAAAGTGATCAAAGCCATATGGCCAAGCAAAGGAATGGTTAAGACTTCTCCCATAACCACATCAGCCCTGAGACCTGAATCCTCCTGAAAATCTGAGGCATGATGTGAAGAGAAAACAGCATGAGCGAGGAAAGAGTTGGAGAGATTGGAAAAAGATCCCACCCTCCATAAGCTGCTGTTTTGATTATATCTTTCATGCAAGGACAAAATCCTATGAATAGATATACCTAGATGACTTAATTAATATCTTCAAATCTGACAGTGTGAGCTAATATAGATCAGTAAATGTGATGGCCGCTTTCTCTTTCAAATATAATCCCTTGTCTCCTAACATTTATACTGTGTACGTTTTTATGAAAATATAATAAACATAATGAGAATTCAGTCACTTTTAACATCAGTTGAGCAAATGTATTATAATAATAACCACACATGTATTATTTTTAGAAAAAAAACTTTTTACTTGAAATACCAATATTTTCTCAGTAAGTATAAATAATGATTTATGATTGATTTCAATTTTGTACAAAAATAATACATTAGGAGGAGGAAAAAAAAGAGAGAAATCATGTCTGGTCACACAGGTACAAGTGCCCTCTGATCAGATATGCCAATAACAGTCACAATAACGACTACATGATGACCTATTAATGAGCAGGAGGCTGGATGAGTCTAGATGTGATGAGTCGAGTCGTAGCGAAAAGGGAAAATCGAAGGCGAGGGCTAAACTTGGCTCTGGAGCAAAATGTTTTCTGTCTGAGCGAACTGTAATACTGTCACCGTGGGCGGATTGGTCCAGACTCCCAGATTTTCCAGCATTCCTATATGATTTTTAAGCCACAGCTGTCACAACACCCGTCCCCTCTTTAATGTTTGCTTGCTTTCTGAATACCTGTCAATATTTTTATTCCATGTGGCAGCAGGGAGGGCTCTTTAATATTGAGCCGTGATTCACGACAAGGAGTTATTAACAATATTTGTCCTATTTTACGGTGCTGGCAGGAAGTGGGTGATAAAGGGTAGAACATAAAGGGCTGGTGAAGGGTGAGTCCCATTCCTGAAATTCACCTGAGCTTGTGAGCAAACAAGAGCCAGAGGTTTCCATGGAAGGGAAGGGCCCCATTGAAAGCATAGAGGGTGAGTCAGTGCTCTCCAGACTGAGGCAAAAATCACTTTGGTATATTTGTCACACAGGCAAATCTGGACTTTTTTTTGTTGTTATTTTTACACCTTTTTTTTTTTTTTAAGAATATACATCAGCTATATAGTGCATATTTCCTTCCAGCCTCAAGTGTGTGGAGTTTTGTGCAGAATCCAGTTATACAAAGCATTGCATAGTCCCTTTTAAGATTGTCAAAGTCTTTTCAAATCACAGTATACACAATGAATGACTCAAAGCAATAATTTGCAGTAATGCTGATAGAGTAAACCTAGTGTGAAAGAAAAACATGGAAGACTCCTTTAAAGACCAGAAAGAAACGTATGCAGAAGATCAATAGTGGTTGTGATTGTCAGGAGGGTCACTTGAGTGCAGACAACGTGTCCCCAGTCCTCTCTTTTTCAATGTCTTCATTTTCCCAGTTTAAGTCATCCAGTCCTTTTTTTAAGGTCAACAGAGTTTTTTTTCTTTTCTGGTGCTTTTGTTCCTTGGTGTGACGACAGAAGATGACTTTTTTTTTCCTTTTTCAACTGAACACTGTTTTTTTTAAAGATTTAAGTTTGAATCATAAACATCCTTGTTGATCATTCATGCGCTGCAGAGGTGGATCCAGACTCTGTCCCCAATGTCTCCCTTCCACAGCCTCGCCTGCTCAGCCGCCGCTCATCCATGTTTGTTGACTAACTCGTTGTCCAGCACGCGGCAGGCCATTAAGAGTTATCATGTTAACCTCAGCGAGGGGGTGAAAAAATGTGCTCCGGTTGCCGAGCAGCGGGGAAGTCGGTTGGAAGCTCTCACCAAGCTTGAAGAGGACACTGGAAAAGAAAAGAAGAGGCGTCAGGGACAGTAAAACCTGCTACAGAAAACACAGATATGCAGATGCATATATTCAATAAGCACAATTAGGGTATTTTATTAAGTAAATTGATATTTCAGTTCAGTAGGCTTTTAGGTTTATGCACAGTTGATTTATTCCTGACAGTGTTTACTGAGAAACTTGAAACCTTGTGATTTTACTCCACTCCTTTTTCTGTTTTAGAAACTCTAATAATGCATACATTTTAATAAAAATATAAAATCTCAATTATTATCTAATATTACTACAAGTAAGCCTAAAATATATATAACAGAACTGTAAAAAAAATTATGACTAAGGCTAAAGTAGTTTGAACTAATTCTGCTGTATCAAATTATCTCCACTAGATGGCAGCAGAAACAAGTGAGATACTTATTACGTACTTATCATGAGTAGTGCAATAATTTTACAGGATACATCACATTGAAGAGATTAGTTATTAGTTGAATATGTGTAAAAAGCCCTAGAGTCAAGTTAACGTTCACCATACTGACTTAACTGATTTCCACTCATAAAAGTTCCCATAAAGAAATGTAATATAAGATGGTGAAACATCATTTTTTCATAGTTAATCAGCTTTTAGGGAGTTTCCATTAACAGTTTGTGTTTTCCTGTTTAGGCTGCAAGGAACAAGCCTATTTTTCTTAGACGTAGTTTTGAAAACTGGAAAAAGATGAATCCATGCTGATCTTTCTGAGTCTGCTAGAGTGTGATTCACAGGTGCATAAAATAAGTGTGAAAATACCTCAATGAGGACCCAGATTTATCTCACTACTACAGGCAGTACGTGTAGTAGTGCTCTGATTTAGTACCCAGCGGTTTTTTATTTATGCATTTAAAAATATTTGAATAGATAAATATTGACTTGTCCTTAAAGTTGACTATATTGTATAAAAAATTATGTGGCGTACAATAAAAAAAAAACAGTACAGGGAAACCATGTAAAAGTAGCTTTTTCTGATAATAGTTCTACAGAAGTTCTTTCAATTTACATGTTTTTCAGGAGAAAGTAGCAATTCAGATCTATTTCTTTTTCATGTAAATGCAGAATTTCTTTTACTTTAAAAAACCCTTCCACCTCGGCCTACCACACCTGACCAAATACATTCCCCATTCCTCTTCTCCTGACTCTGAAAAGCCTGTATCCACTCTCTCTCTCCCCCCTTCAGGACTGTTTGAGGGATTTGCTTTTCACCTGCCTCTCCGTGGAGACAGCTGACCCTGGAGCGACCCCGCAGCCAGCAAACAGCCTCACCTGATAAAGCTGACCTGCAGCCAAGACCTGAGTCATTAGACGGCGCAGTCTGTGCAGAGGTGAGCGCTCAGTGGACCCGTGTAAAATGGAGGGCTCCAGGTAAACAGTGGGTGCTATAAAGCCCAGAACTCACAGGCCGTTTCAAGAGAAACAAGTTTAGCCCAAATGACTCCCTGATAACAAAATACCTGGCTTTTGTGATGATTGCTGAATAAATAGACGAGTTTGTGAAATTCCAGGCAATAATGCTGAACAATCAGGAAGTAAAGTTTCTAAACATTTCTTTCCCTTATTTTACCAACTATTATTTCTCTTTTTAGCACATTGCTGTTCTAAAATAAAACGGTAAAGAAAATACCTATTTATACAAAATTAAATCATGTTCAAGGAAGCTGAGAATTATAGCTATTTATATTTCTGCATTAAGAAACCTTTACTTAGTCTTCTGAAAATGTCTTTTTATAAACATCAAATTATAATGTTTTTTTTATTTATTTTTTTAAGGTAACTAAATTAATCCTAAAAAATAATTCTGAGTGACTTTTTTTAATAAAATTTTTTCAAATTTTAAAAGAATCACAAATATCTGGATTAGTTTGAGTTAATTCAGGCTTATGGGTATCTATTTCCTTTTCAAAACTATTAGTCACATTTAATTTCTATTTTTATTCTTATCTGTGTCTGTTGCTTGATTAGTGTTGAATAAAGTTAATGAGAGATTATTCCGTAATTGTATTTATAAAAAAAGTATCATCCTACTCTTTGTCTGTAATCCTTAGTTTTTTGTATCTGTTTAAGTGGAAGTTAATAGTTACATATATTTCTGAAAGTAAATTATAAAGGCATACATTACATTCAAGTTTCTTATTTTGGGGATTTAAATAAAGCAGCAGAATAATAGAAAGAGTCTTAAGAATATACATTTTTTTCTCTTCTTTTAAAGCTTTTGCATTTCTAGTGATTTTATATTTATAAGGTTCTCAGATATGTTGATTTTCCCTCCAACATAAAAAAAAAAACCTTTTTAACCTGGTGATACCTTATGAGTACTAAACAGAACCCGCTCCCAGATGCCGTCATAATCAGCGTTAGGTGCGAGGACTCTGCCTCAGCGTGGGAAATTGAGCATGTGAATGCACCATGGACAACATTTCAGGCTAGAGCGATCACGGGTAGGAGGGAGAAGTAGGAAAGAGGAAGAGGCGTAATTACCCAAAGGAACAAGGAAAAAAAAAAAAGCTTCACCCCCTTCTAGTTCATTTCATCCGCTGTCGCACTGTAGCATGGAGAAAAGTAGCAGCAGAGCTTTGATTAAAAGGTCTCATTTCCTGGTCGCAGAGGTGACTCTCACCAGGAAGATGAAAGTGGAAAAGTGGGAGCATTAATCAAGAGGGGTTCAGGTTGAGAGAGCATGTGACTGATTGGACGGCTCTTTTAGAGGAAATAGGAATCGTGAGGAGTGTCCTATCCATGCATCCTTCTGGTCTGTTTGCCTGACACTGTTTGAACATCAGCCCCAGCATGAAGCAAAGGAGTTAGTGTGCACAGCTACTCCTGACTTGAATGATTGGGTTTGAGTTGGATTTCACTCATTAAAGCTGCATGGCTGAACTGATAAAGTAAAGTATTTACCCAGGAGAGACCCCCGAGTTGCACCATCTTGTTTACAGGAGCGTCCTAACATGACAAGGAATTAAACAAGTCAACAGACAAATCATGAGACATACACTCTTTCTACCTGCCTGTGTCTGCTTCACTCTGCCGGCGTGTGCTTCAGAGTACGTAGGGATGATTTTCAAGGAATTAAACTAAGGATGTGCAGCAAATGTTACTATGATTCTCATGCAAATACCCGCAAATAATCACTATGAGAGAGAGATCAGAAGGTGGATCTAACTGTGGTCTGAGAGACAATCTGGGGACTCACCGTCTTGCTAGAGGACATTGAGCTGAGGGTGCTGATGCTGTTGGCGTCTGTGACCACCATGGCGGGGGGGAAACGTGATGGGTGAGAATATTGAGGGGGCTCTTGTTTGTGGGAGTACACTGCAAAAAAAAGGATATCACTTTAAACAACTGGAAACATTAAAGTTTTCTATCAAATCAATATTTTAGAGCTATGCATTTAATAGGAGATTAAGAATAACTCACTAAATAACCAATAATTTTGGTTATTTCTATTTTAATGTTTAATAATGTTGGGGTCCATCCTCTTTACACAAAAAATTGGTTCATATATTTTTAACAGCGGGGTTCTGTTGAAATATTACAACCAATAAATATGTTACCAATCTTCTAGACTCTAATCAAAAAGAGATTAGCTGTGGGTTTCTTTCTGTCCAAGAAAACTTAAACCATCCAAATGATGTAAAACAATTTAAAATAATAGACCACTTTGAAATAATAAACCACTCTTGTTTTCGTCAATTTCTTCATCTAAAGTAAACATAAAGGATCATCAACATGTGCATCTGCTGCAGCCTCTGCTTGTATATGGCACAGTTTGAATGGCTAACCTTAGCTGTTTCATCATCTAAACTGCATTGAAATCAAGCAATAGGATGGCCTTAAAGGTATTTAATCTTACATTTTAACATTTATTCATGCATCTTTTCCTTTAAAAGTTGTCCATCTTTTTGAAAGGTATAGTGGAGGATTTTCATGACTTTTTGAAAAGACCCGCCCTTTCCACTTTAAAAAGAAAATGCACATGCGCAGCGCTATACCCGCTCTGACAGCGAAAGCCTATTAAACATGTTCGAGAGCGTGCATGTGCACATTTCTCCTCGTGCATGCTCTGTTTAAAAGCTGCTGCCTGCATCGCTCATATAAGCTTACTTTCCTAAAGAAGATTCGCAATTTTTCCACCATGTCAGACTCACCACTGGTAATTGAAAATGGG